AGAACATTTTCCTGAAAAACATAGTGCATCTATTTCTTACCCTCCTGCCAAAGGGGAGGATCAAAGTCTCACCAGTTACTGCAAATATCTTGAAGTACATTTACCCTTTAGTTCAGGATTTGGCAAACTATAACTTCCAGGTTAAACTCAGCCACCATTCTTTTTTTTTTTGTAAATAAAGTTTTCTTACAACACATTCGTACTCATTTGTTTGCATATTGTCTATGGCTGCTTTTGTACCCCTCTAGCTGAGCTGAGTAATTGCTGTTGATACAGCATGACTTACAAAGCCTAAAATATTCACTATTGGACCTTCTACAGAAAAAATGTTCTGATCCCTATTTTTGCTAATTGTAATCCTGTCTTGATATCTGATAACTAAATTGTTAAATTAATCACCATGAATGCACCATATATGAAATAAAAGGGAAAGGGAAATTTTCTCAAAAGGAAATGCTTAGTTAACATATTTGAACAAGGAAGAAAATCTGAGCATATGCCATGGTCATCATTTCTACAACACATTAACAATTTTCTTTTCTCGCTTTCCATTCTGTGTTCCTTTTACCCCCTGGTAGAATCACCCATGCTTTCATTTCTAAGGGTCTGAGCCTCAGTGGTCCTGTCTTTATGGGGTTGCTGTAGTTGTTCATTGACTTTACCACTGAACATGGCAGTACTAGAAGAGGATCCAGGAGAATCACTGGCTTCTAGACATGCGCTTCTCTGGTTACATTATGGAGCAGCAACCTTCTTTCCTTTTGATTATTAGGATCTGTTACCTCAGCCAACAAAGCATTCCCCCAGCCCTTTCTCCAACACACTGCAGGGACTGAGGAGCTCAAAATGATCAGTTAGCAATCCTACCTTCTAGATTAATGGAACTTTTATTTTGTCAGCAAAAGTTTTCCTTCTCTTAGGTGCTAAGATCTCTAAACAAGCTGAGCCCAAAGACACAAGAATGGGGAAAAAGTTTTTGTCAGTTTATTAGAGGTAATATTGAGAAATGCCATTCCAACTTTTACCCCTTTGGTCCTTGTTATAGGCTGAATTGTGTCTCCCTTAAACATTTATATGTTGAAGTCCTAACCCCTAGTACTTCAGGACATGACTATATTTGGACAGAGGATCTTTACAGAGGAGATGAAGTTGAAGAGAAGTCATTATGGTGGGCATTATTAATCCACTGTGACTGGTGTCCTTATAAGAAGAGGAAATTTGGACACAGACACATATAGGAGGAAGATGATGTGAAGACACAGGGAGAACATAGCTATCTACAAGTCAGTGATAGATCCGGAACAGATCCTTTTTCCATGGCCCTCAGGAGGAACCAACCCTGACAACACCTTGATCTCAGACTTCCAGTCTCTAGAACTGTGAGAAAATAAATTTCTGTTCTTTAAGCCACTTGTCTGTGGTACTTTATAATGGCAGCTGAAGCAAATGAATATAATCCTGGACTCTGGGAGAAATAGCACCATTTATTATTTACTTGTTTAGAACAAACTGTAGAAGAGCTACCCAAACTCCCAGCTAATGTTACGAATCTTCAATTGGTAATTCCACTACTCAATAAAGTTAATTGCTTTTGAGTGATAGAGAACATGATAAGATCAGTGACTCTTGTTAGTGATATCCATTGATTTAGTTCTTTTGCTGTAAAGCTGAATCTGTTAGTCAGAAGCAATATTTTGTGGTCTACTTTAATGAGAAAGTCCAAGAGTGGTGATGTTGGCATAAGCCTGGCTGGCAGGGAAGGCAAATCCATATCCAGGATAAATGTCTGTTCTAGAGAAGACAGATCACTTCCTCTACTCCACCAGGTGGCTGGCTGATCTCCCAGAGGTATGGTGTTAGCACTTGGTTTCTTGTGGTTGGAATTTTGGACAATCATCAATGGTAGCAGCCAGATAAACCTTGGTGTCATTATTCCAGTGCAAAATTTCCATTCCTGCCACTGTTGTTACTTGATAGATGAGCCTATTTAAAAGTGTCTGGATAAAGATGCCGGTTGACATCCAGAGTCATTCATCTTGTCCACGTAATTATTGTTAAACACTGTAAGGAGGGGATTTTAGATGAGTATTGGGGTACAAGTTTATTAATACTTGGTTCATTCTGAAAAGATAATATATACTTATTTCCTGACACCTAGTCATAAATCCAAGTCCATGACCATTCAGGCAAACCATGAGCCGTAAACTTCTGTGAGTCCCCAGTCTTTCTCCTCTAGACATTTTCCTCCTGCTGTCCTAAGGAGCAGCCTGATTAAGGCTGTAATCATGCAGTAGTCCATTTATAGCTGAAGCTACTATACTGAAAAAGAGTATTTGTGAGTCAAGCTAGTATTTTTTCCCCTCTCTGTGATCAGCTTATAAAAGGCAACTTCCCATCAGGTCGTATATATAGCAGTACAGCAGAAGAGGCATATTAGGAGCATGTATATAAAAATATATGCTCATGTAGCTTATTTGTGCTTTCATGACCTACTTAAGCCTGATACTAAATGTAAAACTTAATTGATTGTGAGGTGCTTCTGGGCACACTTAAGCTAATGGCTTGGTGGATCAACAACCCCAATTTATTACATGTATTTCAGATCTCATGGTTACTTTGTATCTCATTGTTCATCTTCTCAGGGACCAGGACTATGTCAGAAACTTTTTTTTAGAAGGAAAATATTGATTTGCTAAGAAGTTTATGGTTATTTTCCAAATTCTGAGGGTCTTACACTGTTATCCTTCTTTTTAGACTTGCCTCAATTACCACATAACATCCTGATTTGTGACAGAACATATCTGTTAAAAATATAAACATCTTTGAATCTGTTGGTTCATAAAGGCCAATTGGCAGAATTCTTTGCCCTGCAACTACAGTTGATCCTTGAAAGACATAGATTTGAATTGCGC